ACAATGTAAATTGACCAAAATACCCTCGTAAATTTACATAGGCTATTTTGGTCAATTTATATTTTGAGAATTATTTTTTTCATATTGTTATTTGGTGCGTCTTACTAAGATGTACATACGCTTCCAATTTCAAGTAATTTGGATTTATAGAAAAAAATGAAAAATTGAAACACTACTGGATAACTGTGACTGTACGGTAAAGTTTAGATGGTGTTGAATGTAGGCGAAATCACTGTTCATTTTCGCTTATAGGCGTTGGGAAGAGTTTATATATATATATATATAAACTCTGATATTGATATATATATATATTCCAAGAGAATCAAACCAATACTGATATTTCATCTTTAAATATGGGATCCCGAGGCAATTCTCGCAGGGATAAACAACCCATGAAATCTCTAGTTCCTTATGAAAAAGAACCTTCACCTTTGAATATCCGCTCACCCTCTCAATCTCCAATCCATCAAATAACCTATCCAGAAGCACATGCTTCTACTCCTACATTTTCACCAGCCCAGTCAAAATCTGTTCCTCCATCCAATATCCCAAGATCTGTGTATATTGAAAGAGCTTTTTTAATGGATATCACCATTGATGAACATCAGGTTCACATGGATCCAAGTAAACTTGCACCCTTATACCTGCTAAATCATCTTAATCCTATCAATGGGGTTAAGACTCGAGAATACTATGAAGCCATACTCATGGAAACAGAGTCCATCTCTGTTGTCCATTACTTCCAGCAGAATACTAGAATAATAGCTTATTCTAAAGTACAAATAAAGAAACTTCTTTCTTATGATGAGTGGGGTAGCAATCCCGCACAGGGAAAGAAATTACAAAACCCAGAGTTTTCTTATAAGTATTTCAAATATGCCGAGTATATAGAAGCCTGGCACAAATTCTTTTACTACCAAAATCCCAACAATACTCACAGCTGGTATTTACAGTTCCGGCTGCCTATTTTTGAAAGATTCCCCACATGGTTTCAAAACTGGTATTTTGTGTGGGGTTCAACTGCTGTGATTTTACCTCCTCCTTTCAAGGAGTTACAGGAACAATTCATACAATACAATAATAGTGATACTTCAGTTGACACTCACCTTTACTTTATGGCATTGTACCAAATGCCTTGGATTATGAAATGGGATTATACTATATCACCCAATACCACAAATGATTATACCTACATCCCTCGTTTGGGAAAGACCATATCTGTTAAATGGTGGGATATCTTCCAAATGGATCTCACCAAAACCACTCCAAAGAGAATACCTCCAAAAGCACCTAAATACCAGGAAAACCCAAATACTGCAAACACCTCTTTTGACTTTCCAACTTACCTCCGAAATATGTTACAAACCAATCCCCATGCATCCAAAGAGGAACTGGAAAAACAAATGAAAGAAATTTTTGCTGAAGCCGGAAGAAAGCCAACATCTTCCAAAGAAACCGTACAGTCCTCTCCACTCCATACCAATAGATATCTCCAATTAAGCCAGAATGATCTAGAAGAAACAGATCCCGAAGAAACAGATTCGGAAGAAGATGATCCGGAAGAATTCAGCCAAAGACCATAACGACATCCATGACGGCACAAAGAAACAAACAACAATCAGCAATAAACGACAAAATGCTATTCCAAGATTCCATCACCGACATATGCGACAAATAGAATGGTTTTGTCACCGACAAAGAACACTGTGCTTCACTGTAGCAATAATGTAATATGGCCAAAAGAGCCATTGTACATAGATGCTCTTTTCTTTTTCTTTCTTTTATTTTTTGTCTTCTTGCTTCCACTCTCTTTTGTCTTATTTGAGGCGAATCTCTTTATGCCTCCACTCTCTCACTCTCTCTTGTCGTCTAGTACCGACAATCCTCCACTTGCTCTTGTCGTCTTGTACCGACAAAACTTTCCCAGTTTGTCGTTCTCTACTCCCCTTTATTCCTTTCTTCCTGAAGAAGGAATTCCTCTATATAAAAGAGGGGCAGACCCTCTTCATTCGGCAGGGTCCTCCTCCTCCTCTCTTCTACTCCTCTGCTCAAAACCCTCAAGGGTCTCACTTCTCCTCCTCTTCTCTTCTACTCCCTTGCTCAGACCCCTCCAAGGTGGCTCACTTCTTCTCTCTCTCTCTTCACCCTGCTTCCTCTGCAACCTACCTACCTGCAACCTACTTGCAACCTGCAACCTACCTGCAACCTGCAACCTACCTGCAACCTACCTGCAACCTGCAACCTACCTGTAACCTGCAACCTATTTCACTTACAACCTTTGCTATTTACCTGCAACCTTTGTTACCTACCTGTAACTTGTAACCTACCTTTGTTACCCACCTGTGACCTTCGAACCGACCTACAGAAACCTTTAACCTTTAACTTTCAATAACCTTCAGAAGCAATAACAATTGGGAGCTATCCTTACCCTCATAGCTCGACATAATCAGGTTCTTTCTTACCTTACTCTGTTTAATTATGTGTGATTGTAATATCAACGATTTACCCTCATACTGCCCACATCACTGGAAGTTATTTTCCAGTTACTGTTTGTGTACACAGTAAGTCTCCCTTCTTTATCTATTTCCAGTTTGATCTCTCTGAACCATACTCTTTTCTTTTCTCTCTTACTTTTCTTTTCTCTCTTCTTTATCTCTGTAATATATCTTGTAAAGAGCACATGTGTGTAATAAATATATGTTTGAGTATATGTTTTCATCATGCAA